TCGATAAGGAAGTTAATTAATGTTATTGTAATGTTATCACAGTTGTGAAATTGCTGTAATTTTTTTATCACACTACTGAATTGAATACCCAAAATTGTCTACTATTTGAAATTATTCTGTTTAAAATTACTAGAACTGACTTTGATTTTTCAAGATATGTTCAAAATTTAGAATAAACTCAATCGACAAGGTGATCAATTAATTTTATTGTAATGTTAATACAATTGTGTAACTGTTGTGATTTTTTTATCACACTACTGAATTGAATACCCAGAATCTCCTACTATTTAAAATTATTTTGTTTAAAATTACTAGTTTGATTTTTCAAAGATAGGTTCAAAGTTTTCAATAAACTTAATCGATAAGGTGGTTAATTAATGTTATTGTAATGTTAACACAACTGTGTAATTGTTGTAATTTTGTTTATTACACTGATGAATTGAAAACTCAGAATCTTCTATTATTTAAAATTATTTTGTTTAAAACTACTAGTTTGATTTTTCAAAGATAGGTTCAAAGTTTTGAATAAACTTAATTGATAAGGTGGTTAATTAATGTTATTGTAATGTTAACACAACTGTGTAATTGTTGTAATTTTGTTTATTACACTGCTGAAGTAAAAACTCAGAATCTTCTACTATTTAAAATTATTTTATTTAAAATTACTAGAACTGACTTTGATTCTTCAAAGATAGGTTCAAAGTTTTGAATAAATTTAATTGATAAGGTGATTAATTAATGTTTTGGTAATATTAACACAATTGTGTAATTGTTGTAATTTTGTTTATCATATTACCGAATTGAATATTCAAAATCTCCTACTATTTGAAATTATTCTGTTTAAAATTACTAAAACTGACTTTGATTTTTTAAAGATAGATTCAAAGTTTTAAATAAACTTAATCGATAAAGTGGTTGATTAATGTTATTGTAATGTTATCACAATTGTGTAATTGTTGTGATTTTTTATCACACTACTGAATTGAACACCCAGAATCTCTTACTATTTAAAATTATTTTATTAGACTTCTTTCATATGTACCTATACAACCAGACAAATCGTATAAATGAACCCATTTTTAAATTATATGAAGAGGGTAGTGTGGGTAAAATTATATAAAGAGGGTAAATTTATGGGTAAAAAGGTCTACCACCGATCTCAAAATGAAGTAAAGTTACAAAAATTTTAACAACATTATATGAAAGTAGGGGGAAAAAGATGTGTAACCAGACATCACCTTAATTTCTACGACGTTGCTATCGGGAGCTAAACAGCAATGCTTGAAAATCCATGACAAAAGTATTTTCTTTCGTCGTTAATTTTTTTGGTTATTTAGTTCACGAGACCTTAATATAATTTTTAAGTATGACCACTAAAAAAGATTGCACTAGAAAATCCATAATAAAAGTATTATCTTTTATTGCTATTTTTTTTGGTTGTGAGCACTGTTATTTAGTTCAAGAGACTTTAATATAATTTCTAAGAATACTTTATATAATTGTTTCATATGATATATTGTTAATTTTAAGTTATTTTCAAGTTTTTTTATATAACCTTTATAAAAGCTTACACGTGAGTGGGCTAAAACGACCAACTGAACCTTTACCCTGGCAAAGATGTAGCAATAAAAATAGTCAATAAAAATAACTCAAGTTAAAAAATTTACTTTTACAAGAGATGAATTCGATATATAGTTATTCAACTACTTCTGATGAATATTTCTGACAAAATATCAGATCAAGGTTGTATACAGTGTTATCTTAGCAAAACATGTACCCATGGTATTTATATTTTGCATTGGTTGCATAATGTAGCTATTATTTTGTAAAATCCTTTTAAATTTAGAAATAAGACTTCTGATCTATTTTTTCCCTAACGGCCCCATTTTACCCCGTCTGTGCTGTATAAAGGACCAGATAACTAACTTTTAAGAACAAGAAAAAAACACATTTCTATGATGAATTAGCTGCGAGTTTACTGAACATAGTCAGATAGTTGTTAATTTGATATTTGTTATTTATTGTGATTCGGTTTTCACAATACAATTGCTTACTCAAATTGAACTTTTGTGCACTGCCCTACCCTATATTAAACTGAGATTTAGAAGAATTAGAAGAAAATTATATTAGAGAATATTAATCATTTATTCTTGTATTATTTTCAAATGCTGCACTACCTATATTTTCATATCTCTTCTTTTTTTCAGGTGACGAGGTCATAGAATGGAACGGACGATTGCTGCGTAACAAATCTGCCGAAGAAGTTTACGATATTATAGCAGAATCGAAGCAAGAACCACAAGTCGAACTAATTGTGTCCAGGCCGATTAATAGGCGAGCTGCTCAGGCATCCTGGAGGCATGCACATTCTTCACCAGTTCCTCCTCATAAAGGTAGATTAAAACGAGTTCAATAATAATGGTAATGGGTTAGGAAAAAAATAGTTTGCACTGAAAGTTTATTCTTCATCCATTTATAGTCGAATTATTTCATTTATGATTATGATGTGTATAGAGAGAGTTGACTAAATCAACGTCTACAACTTTGCTAGCGAAGTAATATATTAGAGTAACATTTAACTAACATTATTTTTTGTGTAACCAACAGCATATGAAATAAATTGTTTGTAGATTTTCTTAAAAATAAATTTTATTAAATTTGTATTGCGAACAATCAACACAAATATCACAACACTTTGAACAATACTATTTGAAATTTTTATTCCTATCATTATTATTTTTGAGTGATCAATCTTTAAATTTGCAACTTTCGTCTGGATTCATAATTGTTTTTTTATATTTTATACTTGAATGAAAATGGTAGATATCACATATGCTAATTGATATATACATCAAAGACTTCATTTATTCACATCATGCATTCATCCTAATTTAATATTTTGATTTCAGGTATTGAATGTGAAAATTATCTGTAGCAGAAATATTCACTAACCTCTTCTTTTACAGCAAGCAATATACTGACCCGACTAAAGCAATATTTAAATTTATAATTTGTTTTAATTTATATATATTTTTTTCGATTTTATATTACCATATATAATCAGTTGGATTTGAAGTAATTGATTAGGTTGGAATAAATACAATTAAACACGACACATACATGCATGAATCGTAGTTAAAACTTATTTTCTATTATACATTTGATATGTATGTTTTTTACATATTAAATGTAAAAATCATCTGTATGGTTTTTCATATTCATGTACATAGCACATAATTTGTTTCCTAAATTTGGGAGCAACAACCCTTCAATTGAACTAATTTAATATAGCTTAATTCAATACTTTTATGGTAATCAATGGTTAATGCAATAATTATTTCACAATATTGTGTTAACAGAATGTCGATTATAATGTTACCATTCAGTGTTTTCAAACTATTTTGAAGTGATAAAGAAATAACTGGCTCAAAGCCAGACTATGTTTTTGTACTAAAAGGATCACACAGTAATAAATTTAAACATTTATCTTTAAGTTAAAAATTAATAATAAATAAATATCAAATGGCATTTTAATTATTAAGACATTTTCAATGTTCTAAAAACAGCCATTTATCTTATCAGTATTTAAATTGTTGTCTAATCTACCAAATTGCTTCAGAAACTTAAATTAAATTAAGATTATTTAAAATATAATTAATTGGAGCATCCTTATTTTAGTTAGTTTTAGTTTACCTAGTAATTTTAATAAGTGGTATTTACATAAGAATCTAAATAGCTTTTGATCACATTAGATTTCTGAAAATTTGATCAACGTAATCAGAGAATACAAATATTATTTTTTTTCAGTGTGATTTTACATTGAATGCTTTCTATACTATTTGGTAAATTTATATTTACCAACTATTTAACTATATAATATAATAAACACGTGTAACACATCTCATTTGTCAGCCGAATTATGTAGGAAAAATTTTAAGCATTGGATTCATTGAATTATTTGGGAAAATTTTTATTGTAAACGTTAAACGAATATTAAATGTTACATTAATTCCTTGATTTTTCTTATCATCACAGATTTATATTCGAGTATTGATTCGACTGGTCGAAGCGATAAACCAAGTGTTCTTGTCACTTCGCCAGGATCTCCTGATTTGCATGCCCACGGCTCCAGGTCGACTAGAGGACATCAGGCTGGTGGCAGACCAGATGCTTCTCAACCTAACGTAGGGGGTAGACTACAGGTTAGAAAAGCTACAATTTTTTACAATAAATTATTGTTAATATTATTTCTGCATTTTCTGAAGTCTCATCCCTAATTTGCGAACACAGTTTTAATTCTTATGTTTACCAACTATACTTGGATAATCTAAAAGTAACCTGATTATGCAGGTGCAACTTATTATGTAATCACAATTTGACATATTTTAGCACATTTAGTCAAATCAGTTTTCTACAATGCATATCCAAAAATTTGATTGAATAACCGATTATCAAAGTTTCCATCTCTTAATTTTCAAGGTAAAACTGGGTTTTGATCCTGCTGCTCTTCAATTAATTATAACCATCGTATGTTGCGCTGGTCTAACTCCAAGACAAGGCGGTCAACCAAGAAATCCTTATGCAAAAATCTTTCTTTTACCTGATAGAAGTGAAAAATCGAAAAGAAGAACGAAAACGTTAGCAAACACAAATGATCCTCGTTGGTCACAAACTTTCGTATATAGTGGGATAAGAAGAGCGGACCTTAAACATAGAATATTTGAGGTAAAGTTTAATATTTGTATGAAGAGAATTATGATGATAAATTCATAAATTATTCCTACTGTTTTCTGTGAAAATAGTTTGGTAATTGAATTGCACCACAAGAGCGCCAATAGCTTAATAGAATAAATCAAATAATTAATCGCCAACTCTCTTAATTATTGTTTAAGATTGATAATAAATCATTTTCCATTGTCAAGCCAATTTTTTTTAATGCTAGGAATATAATAATATTTTTCCAAGAAAAATATTAAATCTAATTTGGTTTATAGGTAACAGTGTGGGATTACGTTCGCTACGGTGCAAACGATTTCTTGGGTGAAGTTCTTTTAGATTTAAGTGTTTGTCCATTAGACGATGAACCTGAGTGGTATTATCTTGCTGCCCATGAAGATGTTATGTTATCACATTCAGTAAGTGAACTATTTTTCAACGTTGTGTATTTTTTAAAAAAGCCGTACTTATATAATATTGAAATATAAAATTAATGTTTTACTGATAATTTACTGATTGTACTTTTACTTATTTTAGTATCGGCGCGAATATGATCCGATCGCGGTACCAACTACTGGAGGTCTTCACGATCTGGACATGATCCTGACACCGACTGATCACCTTTCCCCTCCTTCAACAACTACATCTCGTTTGTCCGATTCAGATACAACATCAGAGTGTGATTTATTGCTGCTCGATTTAGCAGCATCAGAAACTGCTGGCGGAAGCGGTTCGGCGGTTTCGGGAACCGCCACCAGCACTGGTACAGGCGGCAGTCGAAGATTTGTTGCAGACGGCGCTAGTGTTTCGAGTGTTGGATCTAGTTCGAGTCCTCCACCAGAGGTAATAATCATAAAAGAGAGACGGACACTGATGCCATAATTTAAAATGAGGTGAAATATTAAGTTGTTATTATTCTTTCTCTGAATAGCATTCTTATCATCCGATGGACGTAAGTGAACGTAGATCGCGGAGAGATATGTCTCCGCAGGGCAGAAAACGAGCAGCTGGTATGATGAATCGGGAGAAATGCGACACTTTGCCGTACGGTCACGGTTACAGAAAGGTATATAATTACTTATACAAAATAACATAACCATTTCTTTATTTCAACAAGTCTATTCCTAATACTTCGGATTTCTTATTGCTTCTCTTTTATTATTCTAGAACGGTCCAATCGCATCAGGCCAACGTTCTCATTCCGCAGCACCTACGGATTCTCCATCAGAAAACCATCACAGATCTAGTTCGCGTCATCACACTAGTGGCAACCACTATGGGAGAGATCATCACGGTAGTCAATACCACTCAACAACTTCTTCAAGACACCATTCGAGGTCCAGGAGCAAATCGCCGACAGGTCATCGTAGTCTATCACCACCTGAGGTTAGGTTGTCCTCGGATGGTGGCTATGCGGAAAGGGGTTATTATTATACGAGGGAAGATCGCGGATATATGAGCAGTGGTGGAATGGGTGGTCATACGGGTATTTCTCATAGATTTCAAAGTAGGAGTGCAACTGCCACGCCGACGGGGTCGCCCAAGAAACGGCAGTTGCCGCAAATACCTCAGGTAGGATAAAAAACTTTTGTTTATTACATCAATTACTTTTTCTTAACTTCATACGATTGACAGCTTTTTTAGTATTGCTACCTTATGATATGACTCTCATAAGTCTTTTATCAAATCTTATTTAACTGTAGCAAAAAGCATAAATATAACGTGTAGGAACTAAGGAATAATAATAATAACTATATATTTATAAATTATTTAACAAAACTTTTTTTCAGACTCTTCATAGGGCAATAAGAGATCGTATGATGACTCAAGATCTAGACGATAGAGCAAGATCTATGAAGCATCGACTGCGGCAAATGCAGACTTACAGAAGCACAGGTTCTGGTAATTAGAAACTGCACTGATTTTGAAATTAATTTAAGAAGTGAATCTCTACCTTTCCTAATAACACACCTTAATGTTTGTTTACATCGTAGATCCAGTTTTGAAAATCCAGGGGATGGATAGCGAATATCAATCCTTTTTTATTATTTCAGGCTGGGATAGACATTATGCAGGTCTTTCTGATAGTGACTTGGCGACGCATTCATATGAAGATAGACGATCAAGACCACGTCATCTACTATCGCCTGATAAAGATTATCCTGGTGGTTTGGATTCTGATTTGGAATCAGTAGTTAGTGTGACAAGCAGTGCTCTTTCCACACAGAGCGAGCGACCACGAGGTTCCAGAGGACTCAGGTAGTAAAATAAATTCAGAAAAAAATGTATGGAGTATTTTATATACCTTTAAATTAATTATGTAATTAATTCTCTAGTGCGGACTATGAACATTCTGGTCTCGTCCGAGTTGAAGTTGGTAGCAGAAGTCCACGGGATCGTGAAGGACTTGGTTTAGATAGAGATGCTCCACCATCTAGAAGAGGAAGTAAAAGAGGGCAATTCACTAGAAGTTTATCTAACACCGATGTGCCACCCGATGATAAGACTGGTATGTTAACTTGTGATAACATAGTGCACTGTTTCAATATACAAATCATTTAATCCTATATTCTATTACTACAGATGGCAGCCTGAGCGACACAGCTGCTCACTTAACGCCTACACCTCAGAGTCTTGAAGAACCTTCAAGGGCTTCTAAGACTGATGATTCGCGTTCACCTACGAAGAGTGGAGATAGTTCTGGTGGTAGTACGAGGGCTGAACGTACACGATCTGATTTTCCTGGAGCGACTGGCATGGGCAAAAAGAGCAACTCGACGTCACAGCTGTCTGCGACAGGTTAGTGAAAAATTTTATTTGGGTTATTGAAAGAAAATTTGAATATTATACATTGATAATGAACGCAGGAGAAAAAGGGATAATTGAACAGATTTCTATCAAAGCGCAGATGCAAGTGTTTGTTAGACACTTTTATTTGAAGAAAAATATTTCACAAATTCAGTTAGAAATAGAATACAGTTTAGACAAAATCAAACGCATATATGTGAATTAACTTTATTAATAATATATATTTTTTTGAAAACAAGGTGGCTGGAGAGCAAATTAGAAAATATTCATGCATTTCTATAACTGTACTAAACTGCTAGAACAACTTTGTTATAACGTTTAGCACTCGAAAATTTGCTACTCTAATATCTAATTAAATGTAACAGATACTTGCAAAGTGAAGAATATTATTTCCTTATCTGCAATTTTAAAAATTATTGTAGTTATTATATTCAACTTCATTATACTATCACAAGCCCTTGATGAATTAGCTAAAACAATGATAAGAGAACAAATCGTTACGTTTTGTCGACGAAAATAATTTTATATATAAAATCAGCATTCTACTGGTTGCATTTTTATCTAAACTAGGTTTTTCTTATTTGAATCATTGTTTTATTAGTGTATAAACATATCTAGCATATGTCTTCATTATTTCTGTACTTCACCAAAATAATTGCTATTGTTTATACCCCAATTTCCAAATGGGTAATTGGTTATGGATAACAGTTAGTATTAAGCTAGGACATTCTTTATACATTCCAATTATTTCAACGGTCTCTACACTTGTTTTTGCGAACGCGGCAATATATTGATAATATAACACACAAATTAATCACACTAAATCTTATATACCCACTAATACAAGAATGTCTATGATTATCTATTTCCTTGTTATTCAAATGAATTTTAAATGACTAACCACGCGTCCAGGCCGTAAGAGACGCATGGGTTTCGGCAAGCGCGGCAAGAACTCTTTCACGGTGCACCGAAGCGAGGAGGTCATTCCTGGTGATGCCCTGATGCGTCTTCATCCTAACACTGTTTCCTCGAGGGCGTCTTCGCAGTCCAGCGACGGAGAGGGTTCCAACGACGGCGACAGGTTGGATACTTCACGTAGAACTGCAGATTGTTTTATTTATGACCATAAACGATACATGTTTCAACATTCGCACACAATGTGTTACACCCTAACAGTCTTCGTTTAGTACCAAAATTGTGACATGTGACAATCGGAAAATTATTATTTTAAATTGTATTCGACCTACTGTTGTGTTTTGTATCTGTATTATTGTGACTTATTTTATGTTATGTTATGTAAAAAAATATTTAAATATTTTTTGCATATTTATTTAATTTAAAACGGTATGGTTATTTTCCAAAAATTACTATTGTTTAATTGCTTGATTTGATTTGTTTATTATATTTATGTTTTTCACGTGCGTATTTTTCAGATTTATGATGAAAAAAGGAAATTACAGGTTGCAAATAAAGATTAAGTAGCGAGAATTACAAATAGATATTATACTCATAATATTAAACGATTGGCTTCAAAATCAGATAAAAAGTTTTAAAATTTTAATTATGAGTGTAAATAGAATCAGTGCATAGATATGTTTAAATAATGCAATAGAATTGTCTAGAATAGTGCTGTTTTATTTTAGATGCATTGCAAAGTACACCTGCTTATAAATAATTATAACTTATGTCTTTTTGGTGATGTGATATTTCACTCGCTAGTTATAGCAAAATAATTCAAATTTTTAATACCGTGCTTTTTTAACCATTGATTCACACGCAAATTTTAAAAGTCATAATAGATCACAAACTACAAAAAAATCACACGTTTTTATCCATTTTTAAATAAGTTATTTGACCATTTTTGACTTTTAACGGTAGGAAAACTTTGGTTTGTAAATAGATAAGTTACCACTAATGCAGTTCTGTTTCTTTCAGATATTATGAAAATGTATAGTTATAAGAATTTTAACTAACATATTTGTTCTCTAACAGGCGTGTCTCAATGTGGTTGTGTACTATCTATTAATGAATTTTGATTTCAGCTACTTTGATATTGAAATATTTATTGTGTTTTAATATTTGTTAATAATTTAAGGTGAATCAAAATATTTAAAAAAACTCGATTTAAACTCTAATCTGCTACATAGTTTTTCTGACACATATAGTACGAACAACTTATCTTAGTTTATTTTATAATACTTTTCTTGATTGAAGCATACAAACATTTAAAAAATCATTTGATCTTAATTGGGTTTATTCTTGGACTGATCTTCAGTTGTAACATACTCTAAAATAGTTTAAGGTTAGTTTATTTAATAATTTAAGGAGAATCGAGATATTTAAAAAAAGACGATTCAAACTTTAATCTGTTATGTTACATAGTTTTCCTAAACATATTTAAGTATGAACAACTCATCTCGGATTATTTTAAAATACTACATTTTTCTTGATTGAAGCGTACAAACATTTAAAAAATTATTCGGACTTAATTGGGTTTATTCTTGGACTGGTCTTCAGTGGTAACATACTCTAAAATAGGATTATGTTGATAATTTGATATTCTCGGTTCACTTATTATCGTGACTATTTATGACTATATCAGCGTTTATTTACATTTTTGATACTGAGAGCAGCTAAAATCTAACCTACAAATAGCATGAATGTCAAAATAACATTAGTTTAATTTGCGCACACTTTATGCAACGCTTCAGTACTTAGATATTTGAATTTTCAAATGCTATCTCCTGAGTACCATACCCACTAAACTGGTGTCCGAAAATAGCTATTACACTTATAATAACGTTCTTACGAAATGAGTATAAACTTGCCGTGAGATGTCTATCCAAGAATTGAGCCAAAAGTATCTTGTACATATCAGCTCTCTAATGATATTTGTTTCATATATCAGCAGCAGCACTATTTTTTTTATTATATCAGCAGCAGCAGCAGCAGCAGTATAATATTATTATGTTCTTTTGGATTTCTGTCTTGCCTTATGATTGAATTTTATTTCTATATTGTTGTTGTAAAATCTATTTATTCATTACGTCTGGACAGAGCGTCCGTCGAACAGAAAACGTGCGTCATCCGGCAGCATTCAGCGTTCGCAAGAAGTGACGCCCGCCAATTACATTGCCCCGACGCGCGGCGAAAGGGCCGGCAGCCTCAATTCTATATCCAGTGCCGAAGGATATCCGTGAGTATGGAGCGATGTGCGGGTCGAATGCTCAGGTGGAAATTCTTGCCGGATAAAATAGTTGTAAAAAATACAGGTTATTAAAAACCAAAGAGAGTTTAGTGAATTTAGTGACAGCTGGAAAATGCCAGATTGAGGCCAATTCTTGGATAAAATAAGTATGTTATGGTATTTCTATGTTACGGATCTATATGTAGAGGCATGACTCTTCTCTACATGCTTCTATATCTACCAGGATCAATTCCACAAAACAGTATTTTTGTTTAAAATAAATTAGATATGATTACTTTATATCAAAACAAATTGGCTTTCATAGCCCAAACAACGAACAACAAATGTCGGGATAACTATCTATAAATTAGTACTAGCAGTTCAAGCTCCTCCTATGCCTTTTGTTCCTCTACTTTGAGGGAGAGTATCAGTACGTACTAGAATCAAATCCACAGAATTGTATTTTTGTCAAAAAAAAACAAATTTAGTTTAAACTAGTGGTGCATGGCATCATGCCTTAAGGCAAATGGTTGAAACTGCCCTTACCAAAAATTAAAATTTTTAAAAAAGGCTGAGTTGAAAACCTTGAAAAAATGAGATACTAATTTAATTTAAACTAGTGTAGCATGGCATCGTGCCTTAAGGCAAATTGTTGAAACCACCCTTACCGAAAAATTAAAATTTTTAAAACAGCCTTAAATTTTTTGAAAACTTTGAAAAAATGAGATTTTCGAAAATTTTTGAAAAAATGACATTTTCGAAAATTTTTGAAAAAAATGACATTTTCGAAATTTTTTGAAAAAAATGACATTTTCGAAAATTTTTGAAAAAATGACATTTTCGAATTTTTTTGAAAAAATGACATTTTTGACTTTTTTTAATATTGTGACATTTTTTGAAGATTTTGAACTTTTTTCAAAGAGATCGTGCTGCGTGGCTGTTTTAGAAAAGAAATATCGAAGCGCGTAAGCGCCGCGTTACAGTCTAAACGGATAATGATTGATATGGAACCCATAGAAATAATTATTAATGAAATCTCTATAAAATATCAGATAATTTGATGTGCTCTTGTCTAATGATTATTTTTGATCTTCAAATGGCATTTTTTTTTCACTTTTTTACTCGATCTCTCAAACCGCTAGGCCTGCCTTTCCAAAAATTTAATCATTTCTTCATTTTATCATTTTTGTCATTTTTGCCCGGTATCTTCGAAACGGCTATACCTGTCTTGTTCATAAACTAATCAGCACTTCTTCTTATTAATAGAAATCGAATGTTCTGTGAATCATTCAAATCGGTTGATCCGCATTTTCAACATCGTCGACGAAAATTTGTATCCGCACATGCACACACATACATATTTTTTTGCTGAGGTATGTAAAAATGTTCAGAAACCTTTGAAACGTAAAGAAATATAAAAAATGTCATTTTCGATTTTTTGCGATTACTATAACTTACCCTACGTGAAGTGAATAATGATATCTAACTACCTTTATTTGTAAATATTAGAACATCATTAGGTACATAATCGAAATTATATTTTTATAATAAAATTTATCAAATACTAAATCGTATCATTATATGACATTTACGCAATAAAACTTAGTTGTTGAACATTTCAGACTTAAGAAAAATTGATGTTTCTAAATATATTCGTATGAGTTGGTAGTAACGAACTGCCAAAAAGCTTTCTATTTGCTGCGCGATCTGGCTTTTTACATATAAAACCTAATTTCACATATTTGTGGTGTCAAAGAGACACCAGAAAGTTGCTCTAATGATGAAATTGATATTTCACATTTGGGGCATTTGGAGTTTAGGATTTATGTGTAAAACGCCTGATTGCATAGCAAATACATAGCTTTTTGGCCATTCAACTTATTACCAACTCCTACAAATGTAGATCCATAACATAGCATTGCCATAACATGTCTATTTTATCCGAGAATTGGCTCATCAAGGTGATTTACTTTACATCTTTACTTTTCTGGTTTGTGGATAAGTTTTCTATTAATTATTATTCTGTAGCAAGAATTTCCATCAAAAACGAGCACATTGCTCAGAGAAGCAGACTGTTAATTTTTTTCTTCAGCCGTCTCTTCAGTTTGAGATGTCCTTAGCGTTGTACTGCTGTCGTCTCGTTATTGCCTGAGATCTGCCTGTTGTTGGCCGCCCTGTTGATCTATTGTTACTATAATCTATTTGCCATGTTTTGCCTGTCATCTTTAACGAATGCTTTTATCAATTATTGCTTAATTGTCAATTTTCAAAGAGGTATGATAAATATATACCTTATTAATTCTATACATATCTTATTCAAAATATATCCAAAAAAACGATTTTATTTGATAAATGCATTCAAAATCATGTCACACTTTCAATGAATTTTTAGTTACTATAAATACTGTATAAGTTTGATAGTATTGTCGAAATACTGGATTAATTCTAACAAATTCTATGCGCCAATGTATAAGTGAAAATTATCTTTTCGCTGCACTGTCGTTGAATAATTTCTTTTAACAATTTTACAATGTGCATCTTATTTGAAAACAAAATATGTAAAATTTAATCAATATTTATTACATAAACAGAAGCTTCCATAATGCTTGAGCAATTAGCACTTGCTATGATTTTATTTATCTATTCCATAAGAAATCTATTTTTAAAACTTCAATTCAACGAATATTTTTATAATTCACTCTAGAAATTTCAATTTTTTTTATGATAAGGACTCACTTTTCCAAATGAGTTTCTCTTTGTCAAAATATTAATAATAATTTTCTGTTCTAACTACTTGATTTCATTCATATACCATTTGCAAAATATGATTCTAAATGCACAATTTCAAACCTAAATCTTGATGTCATTTGATACTTTGAATTGATGTTAAAAGTGCACACACGTCTGCAATTTTTTTATATGATTTAACAATAATGATGAAAATTTGCACAAAACATACACTTTATATTAGTAGTGCTAAGGTCAATGAAACTTAAGCAAAAATATTTTAAATGTGGTTTTATATTTCATTGCTTTTAGCACACTAAGTTAATATTCCATTATTCTCTATATTTAAAATAATATTCTAATAGTATTGGAATGATGGGATTTAATTTGCTTTTATCTGAGTATATAAACAACTACTAAAGCTGTTGTTTACCACAATTTAACTATTGTATCGTACTTTATATTATTTTAAATTTTTATTGTCGTTGCAAATTTATTTGATAATTTATATTATATTATGTGTCTATATTTTAATATGACTTATTTGCAGTATCGTCTTTAAATATACATAGGCAAATTTATTATATAAATTATAAAAAACGTGAACAAAGATTGAAAAGTAAAAACTTTGGAAACTCTATTGAAAATTCTTGATATTTTAATGTTTTAAGTTTCAAGTTTAAAACGATTTTTTAATGTTTCTAAACAAAAATAATATTAACGCTTGAATATTTTTTTTTACAAAATAAAATTCACTATAAAGCTATTTATTATATCATCTTGGTAAAATAAAATTTGTTCTCAGGATTAATAAAAATTCAAGAAGAGCAAAGGGAGTTTCAATTAATAGTTTAGCTTTTTATTGAAATATTTCAAAATACATTTTTTATTTATCGACTATTTTACACTGATTTTTAAATGTGCCTGGCTTTAAGCTGTTTTCACAAATTAAATCTGTTTGTTTGTGTATTATAACTGCATTGTACTCGTACTTTCTTGCTTTCATTGTATTGTTGTGTGTAAAATGTATGAAAACTGTGATTTCTGTATCCAAAACACTTCTATTGCACTCAAAATATTGGCATAACTTAAGCACACTATGTATTTGTGAATTTTCTCGTCTATACGAAAATTCCTTTATTTCATCATATCTCTGAAAACTGTTTTTATATTTTTATATTTGCTGACACTATAACAATGATATAGTTTTATGAAATTAAGTAAAACCTGAAGACTAGTCTGTATTTTATATTACTCTTGCAATTTCTTACTTAAGTTATTCAATTATAATATTGAATCAAATTTTGGAAAATATATAGAAATGCAGGCTAGTCTAAATGAATAAATTTATCATTTCATTTCTTTCATTCATGATCTATTTTGAAATCAACTATATCTTTAAGGTACTAAATCTTTTTTCAATATTTTTTGAAAATATAATATGAATTTGTTTATATTTATCGTTCTTAAATCGATTTATTGAATTTGATTTGGTTTTATAATATACTTAAAAAATTAAACATGCCAGTAAACACGAAGCGGCGGTCGTGATCTGAAATCCACATAGATTCCACATTGGCGTCACAGTGCTGAAGGCACGCTTGTGGATTTCAGATTGCTACCACCGCTCAAATCACATGGTGTTTACTGGGATATTTAAGCAGATTTAGTTAATATGTTTTTATTGAAATCAAGATCACACCATTGATTCCATCAAACTTATCAATCATGAACTTTATTAGAATCAGTTAAGCCATTCTCCTAATTTCAACTTATTGAAGTAATTCAATTTAAGAAGTTCAAGATATTTATCTAGTATCACTTCAATGTTTACCTAAATTTTAGTAACTATAACATTTTCCTAACATCATAAACTTTTCCATTTGCACCTCATGGCATCTGTTCATCTCTCATCTTGCACCACACCATCACGTTGGCCGTGTACTCAGGTGGTCACCTTCGTTCAGATTGGCGGCGGAAAGCAACCAGCTCGCAGACTTCATCGGAGGCTTGGGTCCTGGTCAACTGGTCGGAAGGCAGGTTCTGGGATCACCAATCTATGGGGACATACAACTCTCGCTGTGTTTCCAGAAGGGATGTCTTGAGGTAAAAAATTGTAATATTTTCTAGGACAAAAAAAAGATATTTCTACTGTTTCTATTTAAAAATTTATTTAAGGTATTTAGAAGTTATTAAAATTTTTTTATTATTCTAATTCTATTTTTTATCCAGGTGGAGGTGATACGAGCCCGCGACTTACTGAACATATCGCATACAGCAATTTTACCGTTGCCTTTTGTCAAAGTATTTATTGTGAATGGAAAACGAGTTTTAGATAAAGGAAAAACAGGACATGCTCGACGTACTCTCGATCCGCTTTTCCAGCAACATCTCACTTTTCGGAAAGGTCTGCAAGGAAGCATCATGCAGGTAAAAAATCTTATTTCAAATCTGCAAAAATTTCAAATCTGCATAATAATATTTTATTAGTAGTGAATTATGTAATTGGAGATGAACTACCAAATTTTTATGACAGAGCTAACACTGCACTGAATATGGCAATATGTAATTTCATTAATTGATTTGTAGTTGTCTAGATCCAGGAAAAGAAGTTTGTGCAATTTGCTTGGTCTACTTGTTTGTCTATATGGTCTATATTAATGTATTTCAATTGATATTTTGATTTATTCAATAATATACCATACCATAGTAGGTTTAGACAAATCTAGTAATCAAACTAGAAAGAATTAATTATCAGATCACAATATTATCTTGAACCAAACTTTATTTATTTCGTATAATTTTCTAAATTCTTATTAATTTTTCATTTTTATAGGTCACAGTTTGGGGTGATCACAGCAGAAACAAACGTGATTTTATGGGTGTCGCTCAGATTCTTCTCGATGATCTGAATTTGTCCAATATTGTCATCGGATGGTACAGATTATTTGGCACTTCGTCCTTGGTAAGTTGATTATTTTATTTACTATACATATCTTTGGCCACTCGGCTAAAATTATTGGAGCTTGATTAGAAATGGGAAGTTTTGCCACATCCACCATTTGGTCTTGATCATACATCATATTTTTAGTTTTGATCAAATTATACCAAGTTCAGTTTTTGCTAATAAATGCCAGAAGAAGTTTTGTGATGGAGGGATAATGATGATGCCTGAAAGTTGGCAAAAAGTCATTCGGTTGGCATTTCAGAATAGGATCATTGAGTGCCATGAAAAAGATGTTTTTGATTTTCTAACAAAAATCCGCACTTACTTAGTTGCCAACCTGATACTGAACGTTCATTATGCAGTTATAAAATGATTGAACTTGAAATCTCTGCCTTGCTAAAGAAAATTCATTTTTCACGATTCTATCGAAAACAAGTTTTTTTGTTAATTAAATTTTGTGGTAACTAAGACAAGTATCGTTTAATTCAGGCTTTAAATTAATATTTTATATTTCTCTTACAGTACCATTTTGTTGAGTGACCGTCATAACATAAAGAAAAGTTTATGAAAATCCCGTTCCCGATCCGCGATGACTCTAGTGTGATAACTGTTAATTAAGATGGTGTAAATAAAAAAAATTAAAATATTTAACATTTAAAGAGACTTAAAAAAAGATTTTGCAAATTGTATTATATAGGTCGAACTTTTAATGATCTCAATTTTACCTAAGATTTAAACAAAACTATTATATAAAATGTATAAATTTGAAAACTATTGAATATTTGAAAAAAATATATAAACTTACTTGTATATATAAATAAGTAAATATACGTGTATATATGCATGTATATTGAAAATAAAGCGTATATAAGTATATGTATATGCATATACAATCGATTATATTGACCTTGAAATTATAAACGACTAATATTAAAAATTTATGAAAAGCTATTGCGAGCTTTCCAAAATTTGATTTAATATGCAGTTTTATTACAAACTAAGAAGCCTTCCATACTGAAAAATATGAAATTATATTTAAATGAATTGTAAATGATATATATTTATGAAATGTGTGTGATTATAACTGGATTAATTGTAAGTATTATTCGATAATTTTAAGTCATTTATTTTCAAATGTTATTGTTATGTGTCGTTATTAATACCAGGGTTCGGCTACTCATATTTTCATGTCATATGTTGTTAACACCTTCATGTTCATTGTTTTTTATATGAAAGTTTCATTCACGTTCAGGGATTTTTTTGTATAATTGCAAACCGATGAGTTTTGGCTCTTGATACGATATATTGATAATATTTTTTTTATCCGAAAATGATTCAAATTGCTCATAAAACTAATTAGTGTTTATTTAGTCCTCCATACGTTTCATGTCCTAGTTTATCCCTTCTCCACTAAAGCAGAGTCAAACTGGTACCCAAAATATATAATTGGCTTATTACATTTTTTTAAATACTACTAAGTTTTCTTTTTTAATAATTGGATAGATACATTTCAAAACTTTTTTGTTTATATAATCAATATTTAAATCATTACTAGAATATTATTTTATAGTAAATTATATTTTATAGAATATATTTTGAATACTGATGTATAAAAAGTTTTTACCAGTTTTACTATTTTTTATTATTTATCAAGTATCTTTAAGATATATGAAGCAGTCTTATTTCATATCTTAACTATTATATTCATTATATTTTCAATTTTTTGATATCAATATGGATTTTATCTACTAATATTTTATATCAAGAGCCAAAAGCGTCGACCAAACATTTTCAATATTTAGTACGAATATATTTGACTATACCGCATACGATCAAATCCTTATAAGCAAAAGGATTCATATGCAAATTATCATAAATTTAATATTTTTCTGTGTTTTTTATTTTTTGGCAGAACAGGGCTTATTGTAATGGGGATCAGAGTTTAAAAGATATGCAATAAATATGCAAAAAAGTTCTACATCTTTTTGTAAAATAAGTTCAAACATCTTTAGTCTTCGTATAGTTATGATTTGATTCAATTTATCTCATATTTCTCATTACCCAAATATTGACCATCGATTTTTTTTTATTTGCTTACACTATTTTAATAAGTTTTCAAATTTCATAACCCTATAATTTTATACAAGGAAAAATGGTGCAACTATATTTCAAAATAAAACCTCTATTACAATTAATGCCTAAGTATTTACCACTCGGTGCTTGCATCTTGAAAGCATAACATGGCGCATGACCCGGGCGCTAAAAGACGCCCGGGTCATAATGCTGCGTGGCTGATAGATGATGAAGTAACCTGAAAAAAAGTACTGATTTAAAAAAAAGTTTGCTTTTAAAGTTTTATATAATTTATTTAAATCATATGCATAAACTAACGCTATCACGCATATCTATTTATGATTGTTGTTGACAAAATCTATAATATAAAAATCACTTCGAAGATAATGCTTTATTGGAATTGATATATATTTAATATATAATATGGTTACAAAGTGTAAATAATATGTAAAAATGCTTTTTTACATCATATTAATTGTGTGATACAAAAACTCATGTGGTTAAATGTATAAATACATAAATTTACGTGCAGTGTTATCTTACGCATATTATATGGTCCATCCGATATTCATATTTCAGACTTTTTATTGAGAAAATGATTAACTAATGCGTTTTTAATAATTTGGTATAAAGGTACATGTATTTTTACATAGTATTCATGATTTGTCTATGATGAAACTGTTTAGTTTTTAATTTATAATTAGGGATCGACGTACGGTATGTGCTACTTCATATTCTTGTTTGAAATCTGAATAATTTAGTCGAGAATTTAGAATAATTTAAATAGTATAATAAAACCATATAATTTTTCATATTTAAAATAACTAATTTGTATTTTATATAGAAGAGCTTTTGATCAAAATTAAACGTTTATTTTGATTTATAATTAATTCTGCGAGCAAAGTTCAAGCTTTTTTACCAAAATAGCAAGTGCTTAGTTGGCAGATGCTGAAATTAATCAAAATTAATTATGCAAAGATATTTTTTATAAATAAGTATTTTATAGACAAATGCTAAATTAATATAACATTTTAGTTTTGTGGTAATGTTACATATTAAAAAACTAATTTTTCTTAGCAATTCTTTGTCTAAACGGAACTAAATAATACTAGAATGTTGAGACTGAATTTTTAATTGTAATTTTATTTATTTTATTTATTTACAAATTTAATATGAATGTAAAGTAGTACATTACTATATGTCGTTTCTAAACAATTTATCTATTACTAGTAATTTTATTTTTGCGTTTATCATGCCAATAATCAATCAATCATCACGCTTGCCATTTCGAACACAATGAAAATTTATAGATATATTTATAAATGTAGGATATATAATTTTGGAAACATAAATACAATTCTTATACTCTAGATAGCTATTTATAATTATAAAATAAATAATTATTTATCAATGAAAATCTGTGAGCGTGCGCATGAGAAATCTGAATGAAGGCATTATTGTTTAATCTCAAATTTCTCAAACTGAATTCGTGAATTGAAATATTTATAACTTTAATAAACATATTAATGATCCATAAATCTGAATAATTACATTACGAACTTATTCATTGATATTAGAGATTTTTATGCAAACTTCATTGCTTGATTTAATTAAATTATTCAAATGTGATTCAAAGCAGATTTAGCTAACATATCAGTAAGCCGTAACTATTTGTTATATAAATGATCAGGGGCAATAAAATTTAATTTCTATCATAAATTAAACCCTTTTTAAATCACAATAATAATTCATAACTTTTTGTTATTCACTAAATACAAAATTTAATGTTTCAACATTTTTTAACTTCAGAAAAGTAATATTTCTTAAATTACTTTAAATAAAAATACTAAAATTTATTTACGTCGTAACTAAATACTATTTTTACCATATTTTTAAAATTTGCTAATAATTTAATTAATTTTATAAAATATTATATAACATTACATTATAAAATATTATTAACATTTAACATCAACTTGTCATATCGCTTATAATGTAAATATTTTGTTTCAAAGTTTTATAAAGACCAAAAATATTATAGTTTGTTGTTATATACGTAATATAAAATTTTGTCAATTTTTTATATTTGAACTACTAGAAAATATTTGCATAAAAATTTGTCAAACTTTTATATTTGATTTTTAACCCTTTCCACTCGGATGCCGCCGCTCCGGCGACAAAACACGTATTAATTCTGCAATTCCCGAGTGGAAAGGGTTAAGTTTCTTTTGTTCTTTTACCCGCCCCTGGTCAAGCTGATATAAACATATACTTAAAACCTTTTCTACTGATAATATCGTATTAAAATATTATAAAATAACAAAAACTGACTTAATAAATTACTTACATCATATTTACAATTTTAATATAAAATGATACCAAGAAAACATAAAAAATATAAAGTTCACCTTGAGAATGAATAGGTCGACAATTTTTATTCAGATTCTATACTAACAGAATTCTTTTTCGATTTTTTAAAAGTTATTTATGAATGATATAATTGAATTTGCTGTTATATTTAAATATATTATTGTTATTATTAAGTAAATAAGTTTTGTTGAAGTACAGGTAATTTTA